TGTAAACTCTAGGTCGGATTTTTACTGAATTACACTTGGCCACTCTGATAAAAGTATGAAAAAGTCCAGAAATAAACATAAAAAACGAAAGGTTTTTTTAGTTCTGAAGGGTTTTGGCTTAATGATGGTTTGTGCAGTAAACATACAAAGGAAAAGGTTGTTTGAAATTGTTTTTCTTAAAAAAAGTTGCCCAACAAGCAAAAGGTTGATTAAAGATTAAAGAGTACAATCGGGAAAACCTTACCATGCAGAAACAGGTCTGTTGTGCGTCGTGTACGATCAAGAGAACAAGGTCTCTACTTGGTAATTTAGTTGTCTTAAATTCATAGACGGATTTTCATATTTTTTACTGGGGTGGTGCCAGAAATTTTAGGGGGTGAGGGAACACAAATCGTCACCAAACACCAGTAAGGTCTATACACTCTAGGGGTGGACTGTGGAGCCGCGAGAGGGACGCTAGGGAGTAGAAAACAAAGTGCCCCAACACCGCGAAAAAACTTCTGCGCATGCATCAACCTCACTGAAATTTGCCTTGCAAACGTGGTGTTAAGTATTCCGAAGGTTGTCAAAAACTCAAAATGGAAGTGCATGACAAGGAGCAACATCGATGTTTTGCTTTTTCTGTGAAAATGCCGAAGCGGAATAATGAATGTGACAACCTAAAAACTAGAAATAATTACAGTCTACAAGTGCAAGAAGTAGTATTAGTATAGGTAATAGCATGATTTCGAGTGCAATTTGGATATAACATGCACGAGTGAGTTTTTCGAAGGTCTTTGAAAAACTCACGAGTGCATGTTTATCCAAATTTCACGAGAAACCATGCTATTACTTATTAATAATTTACATAAAAATGTTCGAGACAATTGTAGTTTTAACTTACGGGTTTATAGCGAACATTCCACCAGCAAACTTTTCCTGGCTTTGTTATATCACATTATGCAATGCTAACAGCTTGAAAATTCCACTCAACTATGTAATTTTTGTTAGTCTTGTTTAAGGTCAATGCTTTTCCATTTAAAAATAAAGATAAAAGCCATATTTTCACGCGAAAGCAACTTTTACTTCACTGTAGCGCGGCGCCATGTTTGTTTTGTTTTGAAGCAATCTGTGATTACAGAAAATTGCACTGCTGTTTGGGATTAACTGCACTGAAATGAACCAATCACAGTCGAGTAATATCTTTATGTATATTATTATGCAAGAAAATGAACTAAAGGTGACTGTCGATCGATTTATTGTATAAAAAGTTCTTTAATAACTCAGGCCCCGTTTACACTACGCTCAATTTTTGGTACGGCACGGATAAAATTGGTACCCGTACCACTTTTTTGGTTCTTGGACTACCTATCCAAGAACCAAAGTGGTACGGTACCAAAAATTGAGCGTAGTGTAAACGGGGCTTGGCTAAATAGGTAATCCAAGAACCAAAAAAGTGGTACGGGTACCAATTTTATCCGTGCCGTACCAAAAATTGAGCGAAGTGTAAACGGGGCTTATATCATACAAAGATTCTTTAATTTTCTCGTTCCTTTACGTTATAATATATAACTTATATTTTGTGTTAAACTTAGTAAAGCAAAACTTATTATGAACTTCAAAAGCAAAGGGCTATGCGAAAGATGATCTAAGCTGAGATAATAGAGTTTTAAAGCTTTACATTGCTCCAATAAACCAGTAATTCTGCGAACTGAAGCGAGGAGTGACTAGTTTCCGAGTGTCGCAATGTCCTTTTCTGTTTGAGAGTACTCCTAAGTTTGTTTTTTATCATCAACACTCTGCACGTTGGAATGGACTAAAATTGGGGGGGAGGTTAAAATTTTCTTTGGAGGGGTGAACATTTTGTTTGGGGGGGGGGTAAAAACTGATATTTGGGGGGAAATCCGTCTATGCTTGAATTGCACAAGGAGATAAACAAAATATACCGCGTTTCGATGCTTTCTTGATTACTTTATTAAATGTTCCTTCGATGTTAAGACGAATACGGAAAACTATGCTTTTCGTCTATTTTCTAAATTGTCGTGTTGCTATTTATCTTAGCGCAAAGATGAATATATTACAATGCTTTGTTAAGTTAACTTCTCTCACAAAACTAACAACTGGTTTACATTAAAGCCTTCCTCCCCAACACATATGAGTTTAAGCCTGGCACACACAATGATTTTAGTCAGCCGATTTTATTTGTTTTACCTACCAATGTGAACGGTATATGGCGTATACACCTATGCTTTATTTTCATCGTCCCAAAAAATGCCTACTTAACTATACCGTGTCACAGAATACTATACAGAAGTCCATCTTCATTGTTTATTGCGTAAGCGCTATTCGTCATGATTCGTCACTCAGCAAGTACCGTAAACTGAAGCAGTCACCCCCAAGACGTGTGCCATTTTTGAATATTTTCACGGGGGACTGCTTCTGTTTACGGTACTTGCTGAGTGACGGATCATGACGAATAGCGCTTACGCAAAAAAAAACAATGAAGATGGACTTCTGTATAGTGTTTTGTGACCGTGTATGCCATGCTTAAGAATGTGTCTTTGAAAAAGAGCTTCATAATGTGACACACTTTGACCAAAGAATACTTAAACCAATGAAACTTAATGTGAACCATTTTTTTACGATTACGTTTATGTATGGAATATTTATTAAATATAAGTGAATAATTCAATGTTCCAGTAAATACGCAGAGCGAATCTTGAAACGCATCGCATGATAACAGTAGACACCTTTCGAAATAGCTTGTTTTATTGAACAAAGTTTTCATTGTCATCTTTTATTATTGTCATTTTACTATTTATGAGCTGATACCTGACAAGGAATTTTCAAACCAATCAGTCTATAGTTATATTATTAACATAATTTCATCAGAAAATTAGCATAATTATTAATCATCATCTTCGTCGTACTGCCGCCAAGACAATTACGTCGATTAATGTCCTTTTTTCGATGAACAATTTCTTCGCGATTGACTTCTTGCAGACACACCACAGAACCGTAACCCAGGTAAGGAGGGCCGGAGGAGTACTATCACTTGCCCAAGGTGAACTCCCAGACTAGCGGAGGGAAGGAGACGTCTTACTTCTCCATTTTAGAATGGCTCCAAGCAAAATCTAACCGCTTCCCGAAAAAAAACCATCAAATCCAACTTCTGCCGTCGCTCAGTTCAAGTGTTTCAAGATGACCAAATCATGGTTGATGATATTACGGCCTAACGGTCAATAGGTACAGTAAATAATTAGTTCTTGTTTTAAAAGTTATCTCTTAAAAATGCTTAATTAACTTTTGGTTTCTTCCTAACGAAACGATTTCACCACCCGGTGTATTTATATCGTCCGTTCTTTTGTTTTTCTATCCAATAGACACTGAAGAGGATTGCGGATTACATAATTGAAAGAAATCCATATCACCAGTTAGCCTGGGAACCGCAAGGATATTTCCTTTTGGAGATAGTTTTGAACGAATTACTAAGTCTTTGGTAAGATTCCGTTGAAACGATGATCTGAGACCTTTGAAACTCTCCAAATCATAAATTTGTATTAAGTTAGGAATGACACGAATTACTACCCTGTTAGTACAAAACACTCTTGCATCCAGACAAAAAGCTTCTGGTACATTCTCGAGATCTATCTTACTGGTTATAATACTAGTATTTATGTCGATAACAACACAATGTTGCTCTAAAGAAAATACAACGTATTTCGAATCATGACTGAAAAAAGTCGCACGGATAAACTGACTGAAACGATCGCAAATATGTAATTCATAACGAGCTGGAAGACCTTCACTTTTCTTCCAAAGAAAGAAACTGCGGTTATCAGTACCTAGAACAAATGAAGCACCGGCCGAAACTGCTATTCTCCTGGGCATAAGGGACTCGATTTCAGGCAAGACGACAGGTTTGGGGTCCCCAATTCCGTTGACATCGAGAACTTTCACAGGTTCCTTAACAAAACAATTAAAAATAAGGTAACCGTACGAAAAGTCCACCATTCCAGGAAAACGTAAAAACTCGTTTGCCACGGGACATAGTGGTACTAATTGCCTCTGAGTAGTTTTGATCTTTAGGTTTTCATCAACTGGATATTTGCACAAGCTGGGAATCTCACGGCGATTTAAATGGAAAACGAACAAGTACCTGTCTGACCAAAAACAAGCAGCTGACGACGTTTCAACATTGCTTCTAAAACGTTGATAAACTTTGCAGTTATCGACATTCCATAAATTGACAAATCCATCCGATGTACAGGTGGCAAGTCGAGTACCATCAGGAGAAATGAACACCAAAGAACACGCGACGGACGTGACAGACATGATTGATCTCCTTTTCGAGGCACTGTGCCGAACACAATCATCTTATTATCACAGCCATACAGCCAAAGGTCATCTTCAATCGCTGTAATATCAACAACGGGTGTCTGACCACGATCCTCAACAAATGCGGCAAAAATTTGCCATGCTTCCAGGGTCGTGAAATGTGTATCTTCGATGACATGCAAAGACTGATTATACCAATAAAAGTTACAATGCACTCCATGGTAAATTCCAGTAAAGACTTCTGGAGTGAGAGATCCAAAGGTTACTAAGGATAGTGACTCGTTGGAAGCAATTAGTTCTTTACGTTCTTCCCGAAAGCAACGATCACATCTTTCATTCTTTAACACACCAACTCTTTGTATATGCTTGCCAGCAGACAAGCTCCTTTGATCGACTCTTTGGAACGTTACTGAGCTCCACACGCAGTACGAACGATCATAGGCAGTTTTTCGATCCGCTATAATAAAGAGTCCTGTGCTGCTGAAACGGCAGAAGTGAAAACAATCCTCCTTTGCACAAAGAAGAGTTAATAAACACTGTCCAACAACATCCCATAACTTTACTGTTCTTGAACCATCGTTGGTTACCAACCTATTGCCGCTCGGAGAAAACGAACAAGATTTGAACCTTTCCTCTTTTCCATTAAAAAATGATACTCCCTTTCGCCCCGCAACGCTAAGTGCCATTTCTAGTTCTCCGTACAAAACAAAAGAATCATCTGGAGCAAATGTGCAACATGGAATGTCGTAGTTCCCGGTTGAATACTGCCATAATTCAACAAGTTCTGGCAGGCTCAAGACACAGATTATTCCATCAGCCAACGCAACAGCAGCTAATTTTAACGTCTTACTGAATGACACGCCAACAGCTTTAATGGAAGATGAAAAAGGCTTGGCTAGACGCAGGTTCACATATCTCGCTCCAACTGAATTACGCTTTACGTACTGAGGAACTTTTGCTAAAAGCTGGTCTGCAGTTTTCCTCTCGCTATCAGCTAAACACCTTTCCGGGGAATGATCAAGGACAGCTTCTAAATATGAAAAAGGGCTCGTAAACTTCATCTTTGGGTATATATTGAAGACTCTATGGTTCCTTACATCGCAAATTTCAGTAAGATTCAATGAAATTCGTTGTCGTAAATGACGGCTTATAACCAAATCGCTTCGAAGAACCTCCTCCCACACGCGTTGTAAAGAAGAATTTCGGGGATATACCTTGCAATACACATGTACGATTACCATATCAACAAGCCATGAAAAACTATCCTTCTTTTTGCACGCCAGTAAATATTTATAACCATAGTCGAGAGCATGCTTGACGTCCTTCGTTAGCTTTAACTCGTTCCCTGAACTAACATTCCTTCGTATTGCCTCAAAAATCTGTTCGCATACTAGCCAAAGACGTTCCTTCCCATCACTAACTTTCACAGCATACTCGTGATATTTATAGCCATTCGCTAGTAGCCAATCATACACAGATTTGTGGAAAACGGTCACTTCATCATCCGATACAAACAACAAGCACGATACGGCCTCGTTGACTTTCTCAATAACTTTTATTGTTTCACGACAATCAAGAGCTAAATCAAAAGCCCGAGATAAAAACGTGAGAGGAAGAGGTATTTCAATAGCTACAAGCATTTCCAAGAGCTTAAAAAGGTCAGCTTTCTTCTTCATTGCGGCTTCAAGCTCCGTCTCAAGGCGATGAAAATATTCCTTGTACACAGATCCCATTCCTTCAGGAAGAAAAAACATAATCTCTTCAAGCGTTATCCTGTCGAGATCTTCACGTTTACACAACTCATGCTGAACATGAAACGCATACAGAAACGAACCCTCGCACTTTGTAACAATCGTGGGAAGAACTTTAACATGCGAGTTATAATTGTGGATTTCTGTTGAAAGATTCACTACATCCCTGGCTGCAAGACTTGGAAGACAGACTTTTAGATATTCTAGAAGGTCTGATCCATTGTCGTTATTACTTGCATCAATTGTTATCGTTTTAGCGCAGCTCAGTCTCACTACGGAAATCTCCGGCCTGCTGGTGACCAGGACCTTCACACACTTCGGGAGATCTACAAAATGATCAGCAATCAATTTCACCATGTCGCTTTTATCATCGGTTGCACTTTCGTCTAAGCCATCGATCACAATTAATCTGGGTTCTACTTCCAACTCATCAAGCGGATTCTGAAAATATATTTGAAACGCATCTTTTAGGCTATTGACTTTATGAGGCCGTTTTAACTGATCAAGAAGCTTTTCTTTAAAGCCAGGGACATTTTCACACATCTGACTTGCGAGAGACTGCATCATCATCATAGGATCTTTTAGATTCGAATTGCTAAAATCACAAAAATGACATGCAGCCAAATTTCCATTCTCTCTAAAGATTTCACAAACTTTCGCTGCAAAGACACTCTTGCCGAAACCAGGCCCGCCAGTTATGAGCAATAAACTTGATTCTTCTTCTGTTGTAAACCAGTTTTTAACTTTCTTTAATAACCAATCTCTGGTTCCAGGGTGAAATAACTTGACTTTACTTCTTATTTTGCTCTTAAAATTGTTTTTTGCAAGCGTTTGCAGTAGTTTTTCATTGCCTTTATCCTCCTTAGAATCACATGTTGGACGTTCGATTTTATTTTGCATCGAACTAAACTGGCAGAGTTGCTGTATCCCTTGACGGTTTTCCTTCGTAATTTGCGTCAAATGTTGCATTGAGGTGGTGAAGGTATCGCTGTCATTTTCTTGCTGTAAATTTGACTGGGTGAGTTGCTTTTCGACCAATTTAACTTTCGTCGTTAAATCAATGAGCATATTCTTAAAATCTTCTTCTTTTAAGAACCATTCTTTAAGACTCCGCACATAGATTTCTTCCTCGGCACCTATGGGACAAGTTTTCAAATCATCAATTTCTTTTTGTGGAATGTTCAAGTCCACCAATGCTTCAGAAATTTTTTGCCATAAATTCTCAAATGTTGCTTTATCCACTTGAGTTGAGGCAACATGAGCATAAACTTCATTTCTGAACAACTTGATTCTTGTGATATTTGCTTGTGGAGATCTATCTGTATCTGGAGGCATCGTATTCCATCCTGTCGCAGGAGGGGGTAAACCGCAGATGTTCCGCAAGAGCACCATGAGTAATGTAACATCAAAGGTTTTCGAGTCTGGTGGATTGCCGGACGGAGGGAACAGTAAATCCCACTGGTGACCATTAACTACCTTAAACTTTAACCTTAAAAGGGATTTTTTGTTTCCATTAAGAACAGCAGGTAGGTTAGCAGGTGGATGTATTGCATCCAAAGTATTTCTCAAAGCCTCAGTTCCTTTGTCCACCAAAAGCCTACTAAGTCTTGTAAAATCTGCCTTTTCTTGCAGATGAACGAAAGCCATGGCATTGACGTAGCTGCAAAAACAAAGAAATGCCAAACGAAATAAATTTAAGTGCGCTTCAATCAAAGAGTATATAATACAGTATATGCGTAAATATTTTAATTATAAAAATTCATACCCTTACATAAATTTCTAAATTGTTATCCCCTAGATAGCTAGTAAGTATTTTTAACCTTTGGCAACCATTTTTGGCCAATACAGCAATCACAGTTACCAATTACCACCAGTTACCATCATAGTTACCAATATACACCTAACTTGTGGATTTTCACTGTAGCCTGAGATAACAATATATTGCAACTTATGGAAATTATATTTTTGTCAGTGGTAAATTTAATTTACCCATAACTTATTCTGCAATTTTTAACCACACTAACAAGCATGTCCATATTATGCAACAACTACTACATACACGTTAGTTAGAATTTTCCTCTCAATTTCTCCTTTTATCATCTAAATTTTTACAATGATCTTCTTTTCTGTTTTGGCATATAGGCAGCCCAATGTTATCGTCGTAACGAAATTCTCGTTGCCTGCTCGCGGGCGAGGCATAATATAGTTATACTATTTCCTAAGGTAGGCAAATTCAATCAAACTACCGATACATACATGTAGACCTTCAAACAATCCCAAATACTTCAAATATCTTTACAACTACGCTACAATAATAACGGAAATAAAATCTACAATACTTTTACTATATACTAACAATATTTTAACGTACAAAATTTGTAATGCGAGAAAAATACGAAACGTTTTTGCAATTTTGCGCAATTTTTGAATGGGAAGATGCAGGACCCATGCCGGGGCTTTTGATGGCGTTTCAAATGACGAATTCCCAATCTCATTGGCTGATAATTTGACGGTTTTTCAACAAATAATCTGTAATACCAAAAAATATATTGCAGAGACAACAGTTTGGTATTTCATATTGAGAAAAACAAGCAAGAAAAAATCGGTGACCGTAATGTGTGCATCATCATGGTTGGCATGCTAATTGATTATCGTATGTGTTAAAGGTCTATCACGGCTATGATTAGGTGCTCCTTACTGGAAGAAATAAACAACTTTTAGCCTGCATGACAATTGCCTTACTCTGGATTCCCGTTTCAAGAATGCGAGCACAATGTACACTATGAACTGTAAACGCTCAAAATCCCACAACAAGGTTACTTTCCAGATGGGTTCATTGTTTACGTGATCATGATTAAAATTGCTTTCACTCTCCGATAATGCTTGGGGGGAGGGGGATAAAGTTGTCCGTATGAGTGATCCGTAGGCTCATATAGACCAGAGGTCTAACCAATCAGAAAGCAGAATTACCTAGGATATGGACCCGAAAGAATGATCATGATAATAATGATGATAACAATATTTAATCAGGATCGTCCAATTCAGTCATTGGCTGGTTTAAATGGAGTCCTGCTTCAACAAAATCAATTACAAATATGACATTTACATAGAACATACAAATTTACAGAATGAATTAAGCTGTTTATGGACAGAATATCTAGTAACTTATAAAACGGTCGTTTATATGTCAATATATAAGTTAAGTGCTCCTAAAATGTTGTTTTAGGGCTATCTTAAACTTTAAAGGTCTTGTTTCATTCCTTAGATGAGATGGAAGTTCATTCCATATTTTAGCTCCGCTATACTTGAACGAGTTTTGGAACTTGACAGTCTTAGCTAATGGTAAACGGAGTAAATCTTTGTGCCTTGTGTTGTACGCATGGTAATCGCTAGAATAGTTGAAATCATGAAGCAAATACTCGGGTGATGTCTCGTAATGATTGGAGGGAGTCGGATGAAGTTGTCCTTATGAGTGATCCGTAGGCTCATACAGACCAGAGGACTAACCAATCAGAAAGCAGTGTATCATGAAGCAAATACTCTAGTGATGTCTCAAGAACAACTACAGTAGCTACTTCGAGCACGAGGTTTGTATTAAGAAATATCAGACCATGGTATTTTTGTACAAATCGAGTGAGCAAGGTTAATGAGTATAGTGCAGTAACTGATACACTAACAGTAGATTGCATGGGATGTATGTTGTGATTTACCATGAATATAAATAGTCAATGTATATATATATATATATATATATATATATATATATATATATATATATATATATATATATATATATATATATATATATATATATATATACATATGTTTTTGTACCAGTAGCAAAAGTCATGTAAACACGAAAAGCCATGCAAGGTATAGGTGCGTCATGTTTTATCCGCTGTTTCTTTTCTAATAAAACATAACGTAAACGACCAGTCGCATTGAAATGCAGCAACCAAAAGACTAAGTACTGTACATGTATATGAAGAAGATTTTTTATGAAACATTTTCAAATACAGTCACCTACTGTAACCATGCAAAAGCAAGGTTGACTCTCGCCCCTCACAGCCAAATAGCCAACTCGGTAAAGAAACCAAACTATATGTGAAAAGCTGCTATTTTTAACTTTTGGTCAGTGTTCAACAACTGGACTCTGTAGCTCAATAGTCCTTTCCCCTTTTGAGTGAAATTTTGATCTAGACAAGTCTGGACCAAAATTTCATCACAGCTTGAAAGAGCATCACAAAATTAGTAATATTCCGAAGTTTCGTTGCGAAATGTTGTAAAATGCGGATAATATAGCCTTGCGACGTTTGCCGTTTTTTCAGTCATTTTGCATTACAAATGGAAATTGGTAATCAGTTTGATCATCTGATTACCAATTTCCTGTTTGTAATGCAAAATGACTGAAAAACGGCAAATTTCGCATGGCTATATTATCCGCATTTTACAACATTTCGCAACGAAACTTCGGAACATTACTAATTTTGTGATGCTCTTTCAAGCTGTGATGAAATTTTTGTCCAAGCTTGTCTAGATCAAAATTTCACTCATAAGCGGAAAGGTCTATTTGTTAGAGGGCAGCACCTGAATCGCATGGTCGCAGGTTCCATTCCTGCCAGATGGCCTATACAGTTGCGATTCTCGCAGCTGCTGTTGGTTAGGGTGGAAAATTGTATATATTAACCTTCCTCCTGAAATTTCCATCCACAAAACCCTTCAACCTTAACTATTTTTAGACTTTTCGTACAGGCCATGAGTCTGGCCTGCTGCGATTGGGCCTGGGCTAAGAGGCACTCTTCTTCCAGCCCCTATTATACAACTAGAATAGGGAAGGGGGTTCTGCATCGGGTGGAACGGGTGGGGGCGCGCACTAGAGCTCCACCCATTACGTCATCAGCATACCTTTTCATATCAATTACTCACGCTTATAGTGTATTTAAATTAGTGTAGACCAATAATTCTTTATTCTGTGCCAATGATTACTAGCATTTTTAATGCACGTTAAGTGCGCTGTTGTCGAAGTATTGAAAGGGTTTCGTTCCACAATTGACCGAAATTGACTTCGAAATTCCGTTGAAATTCAGAAGCATTAAAGGATTAGTGTCACATCGGGAATTCGCGGGCTCAAACTTCTGCTGGCGGCCATTTTTCGGGACGAGTAGATTAGATGATCTGGAAAGTGTTTACAATCCATCATATATTTAAACCATCCTTTTATAATACTTGCTCTTTTTGTGTGATTTTTATCAGAAATGTACCAAACAAGGTATTTTTATCGCTATTGGTTGTATTTAAGTAAAATGTAAACAATAACAAAAGCCCGCAATGCATGACCCTGACACTAATCCTTTAAGTTCAACAAATTAAACTCGACACTGAAATTCTACGACTGTAAAACGGGCCTTAATTCGATCTGCCTAAAAGTAAACTGTGAAACACTAAATATTGTAATTTACCAATGACATTGGCATACCTTCATGCAGCGAGTAAAAAATAATCAAAGATTATGACACAATGATGCGATGAACCAACAACATGAACATCATGCCTATAAAGTAAAAATTGCCAAGTAAAATATGAGTCTTCTGGTTGCGAGTACGAATTGACATTAGACAACCCCGAACACTTTGTTCCCCTGCACTTATTCTGCACACTAGACTGAAACTTCCCCGTTGTTCCACATTTTCTACGACCATTTGCACAGTTCAATTTTTATAAAATCCCATTGCTACACACATTTAAAGTGAAGGTTAATCATTCAAGCAGCAACATAGCCTGCAGTTTTATTTTATCCACCTAACATCATACAATTTTGCTCAAAAAAGAAAAAGTGTCGACCACAATCGAAAACTTGTTCTGCTTTGTAGCATCTTGTGTAGCAAAGACGCAGCAATGAACAGACGCAGCACAGCAGCAGACACACAGAACTTTGGCTTGTTTATATGCCGGCTGCATGTCGTTTTTAGCAATGTTTTTAGCATACTGTATACTCTGAGTAAGTGTTTTTCACTTTTCATCGACGAAATGACTGGGAAACATTTATCTTGACATTTCTTTGGTAAGGAGGAAAATTTTGGTTTATAATCTGGAGAAATAGCTGGAAATTGTCTATACGCTATAGACGGCAGTCTATGAAATATAGTAACATTTGACCTACCTTGCTGGAAGTGAAACAAATGAAAGACCAATAATGAGGATTACAAGAGAACGTACAATGTCTATAAAAATTCAGACAAGTAAAATTTTCCAATTTTGCACATTTTCACATGGACTATTTCACTCTGCCATAGGGATGGGCGATACTAGCTTTTTCATTCGATACGATATTTACTCGATATTTGCCATTTTTTTTCGATATCGATACCGATATCGATATTTTCCAAACTCGAACAACCACAACAAGAAAAGATTATTTTCATTTCTTCGACGCCAAAATCATGCTGGTTGAATACGTTTTCAACACGTTTATTTTCATGATTGTAACTAACATAACCACAAACTCTGAT